TTGGTTCCTCGGAGTCCTGTGTCCCCAAATGTAGCATTCAAAGCCTATCGAGAAACAACATCCTCACAGACAAGGGGAGTGTCGGATGTAACGAGGGAGGTTAGCATGCAGCATGCAGCATATTAGTCAACTCCGCAAACTCCAATACTTACACCGTGTAGCATATAAGAATCGATACGTGTAGAGTACTGTGTACACGTATTAAAATCAACCTCACGTATCACACACTTATACTGCTTCCTTTACCTCTTCGCTCAATTCCCCCAGAAAGCCTTCCCGGCTCTCAACATATGCCAGCGAAACTTCTTTCCTGTAAGCTGCGATAGTTACTGTCGGCGTAGCGCTCGCCTACAGTTGACACGAACACATTTATTCGAAGTGGGAGCGAAAAAATTAACACTGTAGTCTTACAGTGTAGGTAACGCTCCCTGATGTCCAGTCGAGCTCTATCCCAGATCTCGTGTACTTTCTAAACTCTAGAGTTGTATTTACTGCCGATCCGAACTTCAAAAACTGCAAGTAACAAGGATGTGTCGAGAAGCACCGATGACAATGAAGCCGTTAATATGCGTACCTCACTAAGCAAAACGTAGAGATAAGTGGCGTCAAAGCAGAGCCCATCTCGACGTCGATGTTTCACGTGTGAATAGGTTGTCGAAAATTCCTCGTAAGACATGGAGCACACACGCCGGGTTGCTTGGTGCCACTCCTCAAGGCTTCCAGTAGCGTGCAAGCCGAGTGAGTCTGCCACCTGCCATACAGGGCAAATAACGTTATCATGCCATAAGGACATATTTGTTGAGGGATGCACGTCGTTCACTGACGGTCCAGTGTGAATCCATCAGCTCGCCGCATCACCGGTTTACCGTAGCAAAGTTGCTGACCGCGACGAATCGTGTGTTATCTATCCTGGGTTGATACACACCGTCGAAAGTGCAGTCTCTAACCCAACAAAGGGTGTTGCTCGACCCAAACAGCTGCCGGACCAACGATGCACACTTATCTGAATCAACCCTGTTAATAATCTCCGATGAGAAACAATGAGTACCAAAGTCGCCAGTGCCTCGCATAACTACTGCCAAAGGTATTTGGAATAGTGCAGTAGCGAAGTCTGGCTGGTAGTCCATGCCTTTGAAGTAACAGGGATTGTTGATGGTTGACACAGAGTCCACCTAAGGTCCATGATCAAGCAGGGAGACTACTCGCTCTCCCATTATCGTCTATGCGATCGAGGGATCTTACCCTCAGGAGTTCCTTCGATATTATCGCGGCGCTCACTCGTCTGTTAGCCTCAACCAAACCATAGTGCAGATACGACTTCGTGTACAGTCTGCAAGAAGAAATGCGGTTGTTGTTCATAGAGGGGGAACTGACAAGGCTGAATACATCTCAAGGTATCTTACCGAATGGAGGAATATCCTCTGGGGGACAAAGCTAGAGGGAAGAGATTCTGCAAGACATAATGCGCTCGTGTTGGGACGAAGGCGACTTGGAAGGAGGCTCCTCCCTGAGGCTAACGTGTGATGCAACACCACCAAGAAAATCATCACCATATCAAGCCAACCGAGACTAGCGTCTTGATTGTAGCCGGCAAGCGTGCGGTTATCGGCGTTGAGAGATAACCACCCGAAAGCCGCTTCCTCCTCGCCTGAACGGGTACGTTTCTCGCGGTCCCGATCGACTCACAGCTCCGAGCATGAGAATACTCAGTGAAGCTCTTGAATATCTTGCTTTGGAATTTGTTTTAACAAGTGAGCAGCCTAAGCGTGGTGAATAATCACCTGATAACACTTGGGCGTAATCCTCTCTAAAATAGAATGGCGTCTCCTTGAGGTATCGAATACACTCTTTCATCAGAGCATCTCGTCGGGCTGGCACCACATCTCGCATTCCTACAGAGCATCATGGTGAGCCACTCAGAGCACACTTCCGTACCAGCCGTAGCCCTCAAGTAAATAGGGAAGTATTTCCAGAATGGCCTCACAGCAGCCAGTCGACCTTTGGCATATTCTACTAGAGCCAACAATGACTTCACCACACCACTAGGTGCTAACGCCGAATAAGATATACCAGGCGATGTCTTAAACGAGCCGATGAGTTCGGGGACTGAAGTGATACATCTGAGACACTGGAGGACCATCTTCACGAGAAGAGTCAGCCCGGATGGAATGCACTCGTCTCCCTCTACTAACGCTATTGGGCTTACACACGATGTATCTGTCGAATGAGTCCGCCGCCGATGAATTATCAATTGGTGGAGGTAGACGGTATTGGAATACTTTCATACGTGATCCACTTGATCCAGCGTCGATAACCTCGACAGAGTGAGCGCCTCACAGAGCCGATACATACAGTCCCTCACCATAACGAAGAACCACGGATCAGTAGGTGTTGTCACTGTAGTAGCATTGTGTCGAGCCTCTGATGCTTCGACTGTCGTGATGATAGCAAGAAGGTAGAAGAGGATGTGCAGTGGCATTGGTGACGAGGGACACGATCCAGAGCCTTGGGGTAGATATACAATAAACATCAAGATCTCACAAGAAGGGTATTGACCAACGTGTAGCAACAGCTCAGCGGTCACTAACAACGAATGAGCTGTGGAGCCGGATGAGAGCCACTTTTGTGATATGCGTATTCAGTGTTAGCGGAACTCCACCACTTGAGTGGATTACATGAGGCCATATCACGTCATGAACGAGAGCGGCCAGCGGCCTGCGGTGCCGCCGACTGAGTGGAACTCATGCCACATTGACGAGAACAAAAGGGAGAGAGCATCCAAAAGGAAACTCCCAGGGGCCGATCATATGATAAAAGAATATAACATAAGCTATGCAGCAAGGAAAGAAGACAGTCATGAAGGCGAGTTCAGACAAGCACAGTCGTACCCAAGCACTCCATCAGGATCGCTCATCATGACGATGCTCGGCAGGGTATGCCATCTATGCAACGCCTCATAGCTGTACACGTTGGTGTCGGACTCTCGCTGGACCAGCCTTAGGAGCTGACGCCTACTCTTTTCGATCGCGAGGAGAATATACATCTCCATAGCGCGGCTCGCGAGTACAGTTCTCCTTTGGCCACCAAAACACTGAGACGCTTTCAAACCCAGTCATATACTGCGAGACCAGTCACTTCTGCCGTTCCGTACTGGAGTAGTGCCGCCAAAGTGCGTTCCATAGACGAAGACTCGGCGGTGACTTCGACTGCACAGATTCATATTCAACTCTGACGCAATAGGTTGAAATGAGAAACATGAAGAGGTCATCAAGGATCATGACTGGACACGATACGGCGGCGAACCACATGGTGATTCCCTAATGGTCAGACAGTCCAATAAGGCTGCTATGTCGGTACCCGTTGCAAGCATTGATCATACGCTTGTGTCATGAGACCTGCTAATATCGCTATCATCACGAGCTGGCAAGCTGCTTCGGCGAGTTTTACCCACCTCCTAGGGAATCTCTGGTCTCGGGAGGGGCAAATCTCAGAAACGACATGCTCTTGCTCATCATACGCTCAGCAAGGATATAACTACATCGTCTGAGAGACAAATAAAGATACGTTACCGCTACGAAGCCGCTGTACTAGGAGGAAAAAAGAACATCAAGCAATCCAACACCTGACATGGTACACAATTGCATGGTAGCTCACCTGTATAGTAGGACTGCCCGGTCCCATGAGTAACACAGTAACCACTTGATCTCCTCCGCACTATACCCGATCTGAGGGCTGGTCAATCAGACTGTACTCAAACATCCGAATGTATACAGTGTACCTCTTTCAGATATGCAACTCCATTGTTCTTCATAGTTTCCTCCAGAAGGGTCAACAAGTTGCCCAGGATCTGAGAAGCACTGCTCTCCGTAGTCGATGAGACTAACGGTCTTACTTGTAGCGTCGAGTCATCAGCTCCCTCCTGAGCCCGTAACCACTCTCGATAATAGACCGGCAGCATAGTGCCCGCATCAGCAGGTGAACTGGTTAGAATCGACAAAACCATACCCGCGACATCTAACGCTGGCGGACGCCGATTCAAGCACCAAGATGTGAGTATCTTCGGGCGACCAGTCACTGAGAACGGTCAGCAATCACGACCAACCTCAAGCCAATCCTTAGACGCTATGCCTCTAGACTGAGCTGAGTCCAAGACACGCTTGATTTCATGCAGCCTCTTTTCGGCATTCCGGGGGCCAGATAGAGCGCCAACGGTGCACTTGAACTCGAATAAGAGTATTAATGGCAGACATCGTGAGCCGCCTATCTCGATACTCTCAGACCTTAGTAAATTCAGTCCCACCTGAACATGTACACCTCGTACAAGGTGTCCCCTGCATCGTGTTCGAATGGAATATCAGTACCCATCATCTACCTCATAAAGCTCAACGACCGACAAATTTCCCAGACTGCTAACGTCCTCCAAGCTCGTACTCTCTGATTCGACCGCACTATCTCTGTGATAAATCTTTCAAGCGAGCTCGCGCTGGACGGAGGTACATTACGTTGCACCAGTGGCCGTCTCGCCAGACTCCTCCATATGCATCGCCATTCTCGTTATAGCGGTGAGCATGAATACCAAGCACATACGGGCATCATCAGCTAGCTGACCATAACGATTATTGCAGATGGCATCACCGTTCAGTGAATCAGAGTTTGGCCGTTAGAAGTTCGCTGTTCTTGATGTAATACACCGCATAGAACTCGCTTACCTTTTCTGAGTCCTCTTCGTTGGGATCCACCCTCGACTCCTCATGAGGTAGAAGGAAATGTTTTATGAGTAAGCGGGCGCAACGCAGTGCGCGGAAGGCCTAGGGAGAACTCGCAACGATCGGAGCGTCAGAGATACGTACAACGCAAAACGAAAAGACTAACCCAGTTAGCATTCAACTGCCAGGTACATGAGGCACTACCGCATCCCAAGCTTCCGGTTCTTGGTCTTCACAGTTTCCCAGCTGGATGCCAAGATTCCATGCTATTCTGAACAGAGCAGTCACCTGCTCAATCACTCGGTCTGCCTCTGATCCACAGTTATCGAGCCTAGTCTGAACAAACGAACAAGGATAAACGCTCGAGGAAAACGAATAAGTCAGAAACATTTGAGCCTGGATGATCCGCTCAGAGGCATACAATATAAAAATGATACGCGAGCAAGCACGACTGAGGATGGACTAGGGTCAGCTTGAGGTAGAATAAAGTCACTACCCGGATTTGAACCGGGGTTGTCACGGCCACAACGTGACGTCCTAACCACTAGACGATAGCGACTCTAATAAAATTATATCAGAGAAGTGCG